TCCCGGTGAATGAATAATCCTTTCTGTTTTTTCTTTCCGTTGCTCATTTTATCATCACGCCAGCTAATTTCATTTTATATGTCAGTCCCATATAATTCAGACAACTATATAACTGATCTATTTGCTTATCTTTTTTCTTTCTCTTATGCTTTTTTGAAATGGCTTATTCACTGTTGATGGTTATCTAATTGTATTTGCTTTAACAGGTCAACGATGCTGATCTTATTGTAAAAGATTCCATGGGAAATCTAATTGAGTCACAATTTATAGAGTTGGATAATATTACCAGCAACTTACGAAAGTTGTATGTTAAGGCGTATCTCGGAATATCACCCAAAAGAACTCCCAAATACTGGCTCTTCTTTCGAGTGTCTGTGTCACCTCTTGGCTGGAATACTTATTTTATTTCTAAAGCATCGCAGAAGGGTAATACAATTTTTTCTGTCTCTCTATGTCTCTTTTTCATCACTAATATGCTCATAGATGACTCAAATATAAGAAGGCATTGCCTGTTTTCAAAAAGTAAAATGATAAATCCATCCTTCATCTGTTTCAATGTCTGCTGAAATTCTACAGGGAGCTCTACTGGCTATGTCACAAAGATGGACACTCCACTGAACGAGACTGTTGAAATTGGACCAGGGAACTTAAAGGCGTCCTTTTCCTCAAATACTGGTCAACTTAAACGTCTATATAATTCTAAAACAGGAGTAAGTTCTTAATTATATCAGTATCTCAACCTGGAAATATATTGAATGCATCCTTGCCATTTTTTTTCTTGCTGAGTTAAGACTAGTAAAGCATACTAGTTATTTACCAAGATGTGGTCTAACGGTCACTGTCAACAGGATATACTCTATTACATGCTATCAAATGCATTATATTCTTTTCGTCACACAAGTCTCAACCTCCTTCCCCGGTTTATTAGGGTCGGGATGATTACATCTGCTGAAATATTTTTTAAAACAAAGAGTAGAATGAGAACTTTGACCCAATTGCTTAGGAATGAAGCCAAGGGTGGGTTTTTAAGTAAAGACTGGCAATTTGTTTGATTGTCATCTACTAAATTACATTACAGGAACTTTTCGTAACAAACAAAAGATCTTCCATTCTATTTCTGTGCATAGCTGCGACAGACATGCTTGATGCTTGATGATTGTTATAGTACACAAAATAATTCACATTACCCCGTATTTATCTAGTTGATCTTTGTTTTTCTTTTCTATGTTGAGGGACGTTTCATCCTCTAGACTAACAAAGGACTATTATTAGGTTGATATACCCGTACAACAAAGCTATCTTTGGTATGCCTCGAGTGCGAACTCAGATCAGGTACTTGCTGATGTTCTTGTAGGTATAATTAAATGTTAGAGAGCATTACTAAAGGAGACACAGTAAGTTAGTTAGGATGTTAATTGTATCATCCATTGCAGGATTCTGGTGCCTACATTTTCAGACCCGATGGATCACCCCCCGTCATAGTTGCGAGATCAGTGAGTAGCCTTTTCTCCCTTTTGTTCCTGTTATTTAACAACTAAAACTGATTAAAGCATTTGTGGTCCTACGTCTTTTCCTAAATAAATCAATTAGTTATTTTACTGAAGTTTTGATTAACATCTCTCACACACTATCTAGTTTTCTTCATAGCAGAAACTAATTTCCTCTTTGCTAGCAGGTTCCAATAAAGGTAATGCGTGGACCCCTGGTCGATGAGATCCACCAGCAATTCAACTCATGGATATCTCAGGTGTGGTGCATGGTTCCTTGATTAACTCAATTTTAGTCAGCACCAAAAACATTTGGATCTTTTCCAATTTATTGTGTTATAAACTGTATGCATTGATTCTATTATGTCTTGATATGTCAATGTTTCAGGTAATTAGGATTTACAAAGATAAAGAACACGCTGAACTCGAATTCACTGTAAGTCAACTTTGCCCAATGTCATTTCACATTGAAGGGTAGTCTATGAACTGTATATCTGACATACCTCTTCAATTGAAGATTGGTCCTATACCGACAGAAGATAGTGTTGGAAAAGAGGTCATTACCAAAATGACAGCAAATATGGCCACTGATAAAGTGTTTTACACTGACTCTAATGGGAGGGACTTTCTTAAAAGAGTAAGCTTGATTTTTCATTCCTCTTTAAGTACATTTAAGTTGTATAAAACCTAAGGAGACAGTTTTTCATTAATATAGGCTCTTAGTTCTGTGTGCATATATCTTGTCAATATACTTTCTCTCCCTTTTTAGTTCATGTTTACTGTCTTTACATTTTGACTTCATTACATTATACTTGGGCAACCTGTTGAGAGCTTTCGTCAATATCCATTTTAATTCCTTGAAGTGTTTATCTACAAATTGAAACAAATGTCATTGAGCTGTATCCCAATCTATTCAATTTGAAATAGATAATTCTTTGATGTTGGCTTTTTAGATGAACATGCTTTGTCTGTCTGTTATATTGGCTCAATGTGCTTGTTGATGGAACAAAAATGTTCTTATAAACATCCTTAATGTTAGCAATTTATGAACTAGGAAAATGGTCATCAGGATTTCAATATACTGGGCATCATATTTTATTCACTTTATCTCAATTTTCTGTTTGTTTTTGAGCTAATTTGAGTGATAATTTGCTGCTTATCAGGTTAGAGATTACAGAGCTGATTGGGACCTCCAAGTTACTCAACCTGTTGCTGGGAACTATTATCCAGTTACTTTCCCAACAGAGACTTTCTTGAATTGAAATTGCACTTTTATGATTGAGCTCACGTATTGTTACTTTCTTTATTCTCAGGTGAATCTTGGAATGTACATAACAGATAACAAATCAGAATTGTCTGTTTTGGTGGATCGTGCAACAGGTGGAGCCAGCATTAAGGATGGAGAAATAGAACTCATGTTGCATAGGTTCAAATCATTTGAACTTTTTTCTTTAGTTTGTTTATAAATATATCATGCTTAATATAATTGTTGGACTTACAAATGTAATGGATTTCATATTATACCAGGCGCTTGATCAATGATGATGCTAGAGGAGTGGGTGAAGCCCTTGATGAGCCTGTTTGTGTGGGGAGTACGTGTGAGGGACTCACGGTACGTTTGATATGGCATTCCAAAGCAGTCCTAGGCTGCAATAAGATTTCAACCGTTAATCAGGATTTCAATCCTACAGTTCACTTGGATGTAACTAAGCTGCTCATTAAGGAAAATGTCCTTCATAAATACAAAATGTAGCAACCTCCGATTAGTATGCTTCTTTTGAACTTACCTGTTCTCATATCCCTTGGTCAGGTTCGAGGGAATTACTATCTGGGAATTCATAAAAACAGTGATGGTTCACGTTGGCGCAGAACAACTGGCCAAGAAATTTATTCACCTCTTATTTTAGCTTTTGCACGTGAGGTAATTTCAACAATCTACATATTATGAATAGGACCAAATTCAGCAGGCCCTGCACACCCTATGATATTGCTTGATTATAAATGATCAATATTACTGCTTGATATCGGGAAATTGTACTACTTGATCTTGCAGAATCAGCAAGAATGGAAAGCTTCGCATATAACCAAAGCCACCATCATGAGTCCCAATTATAGTTTACCTCCTAATGTTGCACTGATTACTCTCCAGGTTATTGGATAGAACTTGCAGTGATTAGAATGATCCTTTTCCTTTGATGAAATAATGAAGTCATTTCTGTTTTTTTTTTTTCTTCCAGGAGTTGGATGACGGAGGTGTACTTATCCGTTTGGCTCATCTATACGAGGTAAAAATAAACTAGAAGTCTTATTTCATTTGCTTGTCTCAGCCTTACTTCACCAAGAAACAGCAGCTTTACTTCAGAAAAATCGTTAACTTCTTACATTTACTTGAATTCTGAAACAAAAAATGTAAAATTGAGAGTGTGACACCTGACATCATTATATGTTGGACCTATGTTGTGCCTTGTTAACTGATATCACTACTGACCATTGTGGTTTTAATGTTTTGTGGATGTGGATAGGCTGGTGAAGATGCTGATTATTCGAAAATAACCAAAGTTCAACTGAAGGAAATGTTTGCTGGAAAAAGGGTAAAACAGCTTTATAATCTTGCTAATATTGGGAACTACTGCTCTCTGTCTGTGTTGATTAACTAATGCATATGAAGATATGAACTCGGACAGTCTACTGATATTGCTAGAGGGCATTGACACATGTTTACACTGTATATTCAGATAAAAGCAATCAAGGAAACAAGCTTATCGGCGAATCAAGGCAAGAATGAGATGAAGAAGATGAACTGGAATATAGAACATGACAGTGGCAGTGAGTCTGCACCAATTAGAGGGGGTCCGTTAGACATGTCTAGTCTTGTAGTCGAGCTTGGTCCTATGGAGATACGGACTTTCATTGTTAAATTTTGAAAACAATTTTTTCTCACTTTCTCCCCAATAAAGTCAAAAGAACTGGTTCATAGAGCCCATTAATGGGGGAGAATGTTTTTTTCATGTATGACAAAGAAAGCAAATGGATTCTGTATATTCGGAACATAAATGTAGGAGAATGATTTTTTCACCTCCCGCCACCGATTGTACCACTCTGCCATAGAAGATGATCAGAATGGTTCACAATGTAGGACCTTGATTTTCTCTGTATCTGTTCTATAGCATTCTCTTCAGTCAACAATAACTTTATTTTTTAATAAGAAATACCCCATTGTTTTGCCTAAAAAGATAATGAGTGCTAAAATGGAAGAAAAAAATAATCTTTTTTTTGTAGTAAATGATGCAGAGGGCGTGGAGGACACGAATTAGGGTAGAATGTTTGTCCTTCAATTTATGTTTCTTATTTGTTGTTCCAAATGGACTTGCGCGGGAAAGATTCCATACAGTTATAGCAGTTATTCATCCAAACAAATATTCCACGTGTCTCGCCATGTTCGCCTCCTATTCCTCCAAAAAAAAAAAAAAAACAATCTTGTTTTTCTTCTTCCTCCATCCTCAACATTTTTTTCTAAGCTCTTCAATGGCTTCTAAGAACCCTAATCTCCAAAAAGCCCCATTGTACCCACGTGTCATTCACAATGATCCAGATCTCCAATCAACCTTTTCTTCTCGTCCCAATTTGTATCCAACCCTAAACGAAACTGACCTCTCCGAGAATCTCATCCCTGACAATTGCCATATTATCCCTTCTGCTCCATCTCCCCCTCCTGAGTCCCACGAGGAAACCCTTCTCGTTATCCCTGGTGTCCTCATTCATTTGATCGATAAAAATTACTCTGTTGAGCTAGCTGACGGAGATTTGTCTCTGTTTCGTCTCCTGCAAGATAAGAATACGGTTGCTATCCTTGCTAATGTGGGAGATGATATTCAATGGCCGATAACTAAGGACCTGACTGCGGTGAAATTGGATGATTCACATTATTTCTTCTCATTTCAAGCTTTGAAAGAGGATGAATCGGATTGCAGTACTGATGACGACAAAGAAAAGGGTAAAAAAAAGAAAAAGAAAGATAAGGGACCGATGGATGATTCGTTGAATTATGGTTTGACAATTGCTTCAAAGGGTCAGGAGGCATTGTTGAAGGACCTGGATGATATTTTGAAAAGTTACAGCACCTTTTCTGTTCAGAAAGTGGAGGAAAATGCGGCATTGGCAATGGGAGGAACAGTGGCAAGGGAGTTATCTCCAGATGACTTGAAATCGGAGAAGAAGAAGGAGGTGTTAGAAGAGCGATGCGCTCAATATTGGACCACGTTAGCACCCAATGTGGAGGAGTACAGTGGAGCAGCTGCAAAATTAGTTGCTCAAGGATCAGGGCAGCTGATTAAGGGGATTTTGTGGTGTGGAGATGTGTCAGCAGAACGATTGATGCGCGGAAATGAGGTTTTAAAGCAAAGGATGGCTACAGGGACGAAGGCCGAGATTAGTCCTGAGACACTGAAGAGGATCCAAAGGTATTATGACCTTTTAATATAGATGGTATTTTCTTTGCTTCATCTCATCTAGACTATACTGACTCTTAGAGCCCGTTTGGATTGACTTAAAAAAAGTAACTTTTTAAAGTGCTGGACTTATTTTTAAAATAAGTAGTTATGTGTTTGGATAAAAGTGCTGCAGTTGGAAAAAAAGTTGTTGATGTGTTTGGCAAATAAGTGCTGGTAAACATTTTTTTTTATCAAAATGTCTGAAATACCCTTTAAGCTGTTAACATGATAAAAAGTTGATTAATTTAAGATTTTTATACTTAAAAAAAAAAATTAAAACAAAATTAATTTATGTTTTACATCCATAAGTAATAATATTTTTCTATCATTCACATATTTCTTTACCACTTTATAAGAGGAATATAAATTCATATTTCAGAAATAATAATAATAATAATAATAATAATAATAATAGTAATAATAATAAAATAATAATAATAATAATAAAATAATAAAATATAGTAATAGTAATAGTAATAATAAAATAATAATAATAATAATAATAAAATAATAAAATATAGTAATAGTAATAGTAATAGTAATAATAATAATAATATAATAATAATAAAATAAATAAATAAAAATATTAATATTAATAATAATAATTATTATTATTATAATAATAATAATAATAATAAAATAATAATAATAATAATAATAATAGTAATAGTAATAGTAATAGTAATAATAATAATAATAATAATATAATAATAATAAAATAATAATTATAATAATAATAAAATAATAATAATAATAATATTTATAATTATAATAATAATAATATAATATAATAATAATAATAATAATAATAATAAAAATAAAAAAAAATAATAGTAATAGTAATAATAATAATAATAATAATAATAATAATAATAATAAAATAAAAAAATAAAAAAAAAAATAATAGTAATAATAATAATAATAATAATAATAAGAATAATAATAATAATAATAATAATAATAATAATAATAATAATAATAATTCAATATGAGCAATTTGGAAATTGTATAAAAGAATTAAGGGCAAAAGGGTAATATACTTGGTCAACATAAAAGGGCTTTTAAGTTAAAAAAAAAAAGCTCCCCTCCCCTAACTTTTAGCTTTTGGCTTAAAATAAGTCATTTTTGACTTAAAATAAGTCACTTTGATAATTGTCAAACACTCTAATAAGTCAAAAACTGGCTTTTAAGCCAGTTTGACCAGCTTAAAAGCCCATCCAAACAGGCTCATTTGGATTAGCTTTTTCTATGTTTGTGGCTTCTTAATTTTCTGCAAGGTAATTGTAATTTATACCAAGTCTAATGATAGACAAAGGAGCTAGAACACAAAAGAATATTTTTTCCTTGTTTGTTCACATAGACTAGTAGGAAAGAATTTAAAAGAGGAGAATTTTCATTTCTGGTTTCCCCCACATTATTGATTGAATTCCCAAAGTTCTTACCTATTCTTCTATATATGTTTCAAGTTATGATACAAGAGAAATCCAGAATTTAAGTGCCCCGATATCTAGCCTTCGTTTGAGCTAGCTGTTGCTGGTGTGCATTTACATTGAATATGTTATCAGGGATATACTCATATGCCTAGCTGTAAATCATCTAAGAAAAGAATCAACTTTCTACTCAAAATTATGTGCTGTGTTTAATTTTCAGGGTTAAAACAGTAACAAAGATGACTGAGAAAGTAGCTTTAGGAGTCCTTTCGGGAGTTCTCTCGGTTTCAGGATTCTTCACCAGTTCAGTTGTAAATTCCGTAGCTGGAAAAAAGTTCTTCAAGATGCTGCCAGGAGAGATGGTCCTTGCTACTCTGGATGGATTTTGTAAGTCAAACGTCTTCCCTTTTGTTCTGACTGCGTTTGTAGCCTTGCGGAGTCTATATGTTTTCCATTTAGTAGTTATTTTCTCTTCTAAGAGTCAGATTTAGGACCAAAAAAAAAAGAATTTATTCACATTCACACACATGTATCAGATTAAGTTTGTCAGATAAAAGAATTTATGAGTGCATTGCACACTGCATTTGGTATTTGTATTTACTAGAGAGAATCACAAGGAGTATGTTGTCAACGTATATGATTTGTCTTTCAACAGGAGCCTGATATTTGTCTTAAATTTGTTTTAGGCAAAATATGTGATGCTGTTGAAGTAGCTGGAAAGAATGTGATGTCAACATCATCCACCGTGACAACTGAACTTGTTTCACAGAAGTAAAGCTCAGTCTGATGAATTCTACTGGCTAGCTATATCCTTATTTATGAAGTCTAGTCTTACCATAGAAATACATTTCAACTTGCTTTGTCATGTGTCATCTCGTGAAAATTAACTAAAGTATATCAGACGGACTCAACTAATTGATCGTTAGTTAAGCAATACAATAAGATCGAATACATGCTGCTTAAATCTTTTGAAATTAATTAGAACAAGTGAATTTCGGTTTTTGTAGGTATGGAGAAGAGGCAGCCAAAGTGGCAAGCGAAGGGCTTGATGCAGCAGGGCATGCAGTTGGGACTGCCTGGACTGTGTTTAAGATCAGAAAGGCTCTTAACCCCAAAAGCTCCTTTAATCGCGCCACCCAACTTAAGTCTAGTGCTCAAGCTGCTACTATGAAGAAGGCCAAGAGCACAAAGAACTGACCTTTCTTGTATTTTCACTGGTGGAGCTGTTAATTTAAGCCCTCTTTTAAATATTTTCAATATTTTTGTACATGTTATAATAATACATAGAGGATAAGGATTTTAGTCTTTGCAGTAAATTAAATTTCCCACACCAGCCCACCTCATGAATTTCTACTTTTTCACTGACTGTATAATTTAGTTGTAATCATGGATATAATGATATCCCATCAGGGAATTCTCTCTGCTTTTATTCCTTGCTGTACAATTATGTTACTTCGTGGTGCTGCTGTTATCCAGATTTATCCTGTGACACCCTAGCTTAAGATAACATGTCTCATATCGGCAAAAACACACAAGAGATGTTGGGTATATATATATGTAAGCAGACCTTACCACTAGTGACGCGTTTTAAAGTCGTGTGGGCCTAGGCGAAGAGCGGATAATATCACTAACGGACTGGGCAATTACATGTTTCCGGAGGGAATATTATTGTTCTGCAAGCAGGATACTGGATACATTCATATGATGGTTACAAAATGTGGGCGATAGAGCATTTGTGTAGTGATAACTGAGAATAATAAGGATTAACATTAATTTACCTTTTAGCAAGAATATATTAACAAGTGGTATGGGAAGTGACATTAATTCATACCTAATTTCTAGCTGTCCAGTTTTATGCTGTACATTAGTCTGCTATGCCTAACTCTGAGATTATCTGGTGTTGATTTCATTTAGTGGTATAACCAAAATTAACTACAACTTGATATTAACAAGTTCTTATTTGATTGATTCTTAGTGATCACCATGGTTATCCAAATCATGGGCCGGCTTAGGACTAAGCATTTGAATATTTTGCACCATCACATAATGTTAAAACTACTTTACTGCGTTCGATCTCGAATTTAATTAGAATATTAACTTTAGTGTGATTTTTGAAGATTTGTGGTTATCTAATGGCAATCTTGCTCAAAGTAAGATTACTTTTTATTAAAATAAGAGTAATTAAGAATATATATAAACACAAACTATACTTGTCCCTTAGCGTCTGTTGCTTATTAGCTTATCTGGCTATCACAATATACGTGGTTTAGACTTTAGAGTCTAAATATTATGTCACAAATCACTCTCCTTTAATTTAAAAATGTTTCTCATGATCAATTCGGTAAACATCGTTTTATGTATTATATCATTAGAAACTTCTTACTTGACATGTGGGTACGATAATTAATAATATGAAATTTCATGCTTAGTGCCCCCATTGGATGTTATTTAATGGATTAAATCATGTCCATTAATGTTGTTTGATACTCCCTCTGTCCAACAATATTTGTCCACTATTGACTTTGCACACTTCTTAAAAAACTATAAATAGAAGGATAATTTTATTACATCACCCTTTGAATATAATAAATACAATGTCTTGAAAAATGTAATAGGGAAATGACTATAATTAATGATAAGGATAAATTAGGAATTAAGTGTTAAATAATCCATTGACTTCATAAAGTGGACAAATATTATTGGACATTTCAAAATAGTATAGTGAACAATTATTGTTAGACGAAGGAATAAATAGTACAGTGAACAATTATTGTTAGACGAACGGAATAGTTTTACAAATTGTCATTCGGATCTCTGACAATGTTATCTTTGGGTCCCCATATGACGAAAACCATGTAATATTGTGTAGGTTGTTGGAAACATGGAACTATTTGATTTTCTACTGAGGAATCTAGTGCGGTTAATCGTGTAAAATGACTCAAAACTTTGATCAGCAAATTCGGTCGCTGTCTCCACTCTCTATCTTGTCAAAAATATTGGTGCAGTGTTTGGTATGATATTAAATATTTTTGGAAATGTTTTAATGTATGTTTTTTTAAGAATAAGGGAAAATGATTTATATACCCCTTAATCATTACACAAATGACTCACATATACATGATATTTTAAGTGATCATCCCACATTAAAATGAGAGAGCTAAGTGAAATACTTTATAAAGCATAACACAAATTAACATGACATAATTTTGAGCTTGATGATAGTGTAGCCTAAAGGATAAATCTGTGAGTTGTGTTATGACAAACGAACAATACATTTTTTTAAAGCAAATTTATCACAAGTACAAGCAGGGGGGCTAGGTCTTACCTTACTAATCCTAATGAAGTACCTAACAAATCATGAAGAAAATAAGAACTAGAGAGAACTAAGTATTTTGTGATCACCACAAAATTTGTAATACACTCCATAATAATATTACAACATATTATCCATGAACCGAGAGAAATTCTTAAACATTATTTCAAGGTTTTCTTTCTAGAAACACTATCCAATTCACAAAAAAGTATTACTCATCAATCTTTAAGAGATATTTTAAACTCTGGTAGGCAAACACTAGATATCTTTTCGAATAAACTTGTGTTTTTTCCAACAAAAATAAATAAATGACTCCCCATTGTACCAAACAGCAGCACTGGTAAGTAATAGACGGTGGAGATAAGTAGCTCTTAGTGATGACCATTGGACATGTCCTTAATTTATTAGTATAATATCTTTCTCGATCTCTAGCATTATGAGGATACCAACTCACTTACCAATACTAAAATGCAGGGAATTTAAAGTTTTCCAACTCTTAGTACCACTACTAGCTACTCTCTCAAATCCCAATGGACATAAAAAGAAATTATACTCTTTATCAAACTATTAAAGTAACCAATCAAATACTCCAATTCATTTTTAGTGTCAAACAATTGACATTGACGTTCTTGCCAAACCTTTCTTTTGTCGTGATAGATTCATTCATGAGTTTCCGAGTTTAACAAATTAAAACTCAATATCTTCTTTCAAATTATATACATGTACAAATAGTCAAAATTAGGGCGCAAAGGGTTTATTTGAATTTCCTTTACCGGAAAATTAGCTATATATATTCTTTTATGTATATATAGTAGATATTAATTTTTTTTGAATTCTCAAACATATTTAATTACTTCTTTAGCCCCACTTCACTACGCCTATTATAACCCCATGATTGTTCAATTATTAAAAGTATTGCACACTTTGCTTCTTGATTATCCTTATCTATGTACCTCCTTAAATATTACATGACTGAAACTGTGATTCAAAGGGAGTTGTTTCATTGCATATGGCAAAATATTTTAATTTAAATGTCATTAATGTACACTACAAATTCTAGTAAAGTGGGTCAATTCACCATGCGCACGTTCAATTCCCCCACTTTGTCCATAATGATCATAACATTGACTACATAATTGGTTCAAAGGGGAATTTATTTATTTTTAAAAAAAGTAAAAGTGCCAATAGATTACTTTTTTTTTTCTCTCTCTGGTAAATTAGAGCTTGTAATTAATTGCTAGTTGATTTTTTTTTTCTATATAGAAGTGAATAATTTATGCAGCCGACGATGATGCAACCTAGCACTATATGTTTATTTTGCTAAAGAGTGGAAAATCAAATGAATTAAGACCACAAATCAGACCACTATTGGTGAGTGATTAATTACTGTTCTTGAGGATGAAGCGCACAAAATCAAAGCCAAAATAGAAAAGAAAGAGCTAAAAGAGTATTTTATTAATTTTAGCCACCTCTAGCAATTATATTTGATGAACTTTGTTTCCATTCTTATCAGTTAACCACCCACTAATCGGACCACTATGTTAAGAAAAAATCTTTAAATTAATTTGGACTATTTTCATGCGACCTTTTGACATTTCATGGACGCTAAAGAGAGTACTACCCTAGTATAGATGTCAACTTCTATAATAAGTTGTAAATAACGTATCCTTCGACGGTTTTATGTTACTTGACTCCTATATAAAAAATAAGTGTTTTATTTTATTTATTATTTTAGCAAAACAAGAGAATTTCATTACTTTTTTTTTTTCCATACTACTAACTACATATATAAATTAGACTTAGTAATAGTCAAATTTAGAGTTTTAAAACATCATTAATAAGATTACTTCAATAAAATACAGTTTCTTAAATTGTATATCAGGTCAACAAAGGTCAAGTAATATGAAACAAATGAAATAATAGTAAGGTTTGTTACTTGGTTTAGAGGCTAACATATTCGGTTTCCGTGTATATATATGTTAACGTGTTGTGTGTTTGTTTTTAGACTTTAACTAATCACTTAATCATGATTAGTTAAATTTGTTGATTGATGTAAATACTTAATACAAATAAGTATTTACTATCTCCAAACATATTTGAGATACGTGTCGAACCAAACCCAGGCATTATATCATACTTCTGCTCTGTGAGCTTTACCTTTTTTATTCAATTACTTATTTTTTGTCCATTTTCTTATATCGGCAAAAGGAGTTGCACCCCAGCGGAGATAGGTCACAGGACAACCTAAAAATAAATAAAAACTTTTGATTCATACACTATGCTTTAAAAAGGTACTATATATTTAGTATTACCTAACTACTTTTCTTTTTATGTAGTGGAACCTACTATGAAAGCAAAACGATAGCATAAATATTAAATTATATTCTAATATATAAATATCTCAATTCTTTTTAATGATGAATAAAGCATATAGTGTCAAACTGATTGTTTGGTCACACAGTTGGGATGAATTAGCGTATAGTTTACAATATCTTTGTTCTATAACAGTTAATTCCTTATCTCAATTTATTTGACGTAGTTTAATTAAACATGAAATTTACGTAATATAGAAATACTTTATTAGACCGTCTTTAAAATAAATGAATTTTTAAATAGAAGAATACATTTTTGTTGATTTTTTTGCTAAATAAATAAGACTCAAATAAAAAAAAATGTATCACATAAATTGAGACGAAGGGAGTAAAGACGCAGCCTCTTTAATATATAAGTGTTTTTTTAAATTGAGAGATACCCCTTTTGCCTTTTGCTGGGTGTAATTCCAGAAGAAAATACACGTGTTGTGTCTCCCATATTTTGCAATCTTGCAAATCTATGGCTTGTCTGCTTATTCGAATATTTGGGTTCTTCAAAATTTTGATTTATATGGTGACCTTATGACCTCTCTCTTTCAATTCTCTAATATGGAATCGGCCTTTAAATAATGCAAACTTTAGTATCATCAAAGTACAGTGTCCTTGGCCCTTGGGGGGGAAATAGTGTAAAAGGGTCGTCCTTCTCCTGATTTAGGAAAAATATGTCTTTA